ATCACACGGAATGGTGGTGCGAGTGCTATGGCGAGAAGGAGGGAGGGAGGAGGAGGAGGAGCAGCAGCAGCAGCAGCAGCGAGGAGGAGGGAGGAGGTGGAGGGCGGGGAGGAGGGAGGGGGGCGAAGGAGGAGGAGAAGGAGGAGGGGGAGGAGGGCGAGCGAGGAGGGCGAAGGCGGAGGAGTAAGGAGGAGGGGGGGGGAGGGGAAGCAGCAGCAACAGCAGCAGGAGCAGCAGCAGGAGCAGGAGCAGAAGCGGGAGGAGGAGGTCATAGCTCGCGCCATGGATTCTTTAGCAGCGCACCCCCCCGCCCCTCTCACGCTACGGCCCCAATGGACACCTCCGCGCGCAAGAGCAGCGGGGGGTGGTGCCAAAGCCTCCGCGGCACGAGTTAGGAACCTCCGAGCCCCTTCATCCCGACCTCTCTCTCTCAACCCCCTTCTCTTTCACTCATCCTCCCGAGTCCGTCCTCCTCCCCCCTCCTTCTGCCACCACCTCTACCCTCCAACTTCCTCATCGGCCCACCGTTTAGTTTGCCTGGTTCCTCCCACCTAGGTACATTGCCTCCTCGTCGTTGCACTGCCCTCTCTCAGGACTTCGAGGGCATCCCAGGCGCCGAGAGGGGGGCCTCAACAAGGACACCGAAATGGCACCCAAGGTTTGCGACAAGACGGCACTTGATATGCAGACCTCGGACGTCGTCTCGATGCCCTCTCGGGTGTCCTTGTTGAGGCCCCCATCGAAGCCCACTGGGACATTCTCAGGGAAGCACACTATAGGACATTCCCATGGAAGTAACATGCTCTGGGAAGCAGCCGTGCTTTTTCGCAGCAATGTTTCTCGCGCGAAGGAATTCTAAGATGGTCCTCGAGCAAGAGCCTCGAGAAACATTAACTGAACAAGGTTCGCTCGAGACGATTGAGCGGACGCTCGAGACGCTCGAGCAAAACTCTCCAGAGACAGGCCCTGCTGACCTCATTCCGTGGCAAGGCGAAATGCAAAAAACAATGTCAGGAATGAAGGGATCGGGGGGGGGGGGGGGGGGGGGTCGACGCAATGGAGTGGGAGAGCAGAGCAATAGCAGGAACGAGCAGGGTGTAGAAAAAGAGAAGAGAGAGAGAGAGAGAGAGAGGAGAGAGAGAGAGAGAGAGAGAGAGAGAGAGAGAGAGAGAGAGAGACGGATTGGGAGGAAGGAGGGGCGACGGAGGTAGAGTGAGGGGGACGAGGTAGTAGTGAGAGGGAGAGGGACGAATGCGACGAGCCTTAGAGAGGGAAAGTAAAGGACGGTCGTACAGAGTAGGGGGTGGGAGGGGATGGGGAAGCAGGCTGTGCCTGAAACTTAAAGGGGTCAGACATGTACTGATCACGAAGCAGGGTTTGCTCAAAGATGGGGAGGGGTGGGGACTAAACTAACATGAAACGAAATCCGCAGACAACGACGCTTCGCATCATGCCAGCAGTAATGACGTATTACCGCATCGGAGACAACACCCAAATCCTCCTGTCGATATGCTTCCCTAGTGTCGATCGGAAGCCTACGAAATTCCTTACCGAACTACCATGCAACACGCGCTGGGCCCTCTGATCTTCAAAAACATCGTGGTTTTAAGCCTGGCTGTTGTCCTTCATGATTTCTATGTGTTCGATCTCTTCGCTGCGCGATGGGCCCTCAAGAGCCGCTCGGAGCAGCGCCCGACGAGCTGGCACCGCCTGCAGGGGCAGCGATCAGCTCAAGGGGGCCCTGGTCACTGAACAAACCGCGAATCGGGCACGCCGTGAGCGGGAGCTCACAATTACCGAGGTGCTTCTTCCAAGCAAACCTCAAAACATAAAGAAGAGCCCCGAGACAAGATCCCTCCTCCAGCCAGGACCTGCTCTTGCGCTGCTCGTAGCAATGCACGTGCCAGCCGCCAGAGCCCAAGTTCCCGCGCCAGATCGTGGTGAAGGGCGGGATGTAGAGCTTGGCTTCTGGCTGCTCGATGGATCGATCTGGGCAGCTCGCTGGGCCTCTGTAGTCTGCTGGCTTCCAAGGCTTCGGGCCGCCTTTCCCGCCGCCGCTCTTGGCCTTCGTCTCCTTCGCCCACTTCTTGTAGCTGGAGTAGTGAGCTTTCTTCTGGGTGTTGAGGTTATCCTTGCTATCTTTTTTCTTCGCGGCAGCCTCCATCTCGTCTTTGGTCAGGCAGTCCCATGCACCCTCCATCTTCTCAAGCGCCTCGTCCTCTGTGCCACTCGCGAAGCTCCTGAGCTTAAGAATGGTGATCAGCTCGTGCTCCTCGCAGTTCAAGACCTTCTTGCAGATCATCCTGAGCATCTGGAACAAGTCGGGAGACCCATCGATCTTGCCGTATCCCTGGTACCTCCAGATCTCCGTCAAGGCGGTGATGCCTAAGTCGAAGAATGCCCTGGACGCAGCAACAATCAGCAGAGGCCCGATCCCGCCATTGGCAATCGGGCGAAGCTTGACGTCGTCCTTCATGGAGTCAGCGCACCCCTCCGCGACGAAAGCACCCTCTGGCGACTCCCACTCCACGAAAACGGCTTCCCACTCGGCAGCGTCGGTCATGAACAACTGCATGAAGCCAGTGCAGCGGCCGTCCAAATCAAGCTTGAAGTAGTCCCTGCCCGTAGACGGCATCTTCAGGCTGATCACGGGGACCCCTAGAGCGCAGGTGCCGTACAAGTCGCCCAAGGAGAGGTACCACGTCGGCGTGCCCACCCTTTTGACCACCATGTGCCCTGCCTTTGCCAGGGTGCAGTAAACCGTCGTCTTGGTGAAGTCCACCGTCGTGCCTATCTCCCTCGCGTAGCGCAACAAATCCATCTGAACTATAGGCTCGCACTCGGTGGTCGCTGAGAAGTTCGGCCACTCAGGCTCCCTTTTCGCACCCTTGATCTTCTTGAAATCGCCCTCCTTGTCGAAAGCTGATGCTGACTGGTGGTGCGCCTCAGCTGGGACGTGCGGATTGCGGACGTCGCGGACCCAAGAGCAGTCGATCCCATTGTGGCCATGTACCCCGCCCAGGATGTTCTTCTCGATGAGCGTCGCGTAGGCCCTGTTGCGGCAACGGTCTTGGTGCATGGCCCGATCAATGTCCTTCACTCCACGGCAAAAGCCGCCCTCCACCGCTTGGCTGAGCAGAGGGCGCGTCCGATTCTTCGTGAGCCACTTCCTGAAGGCAGCGTTGTCCACGTCGTAGCCAGCATCAATGAGGCGCCCGATATGCTGCCGAACAGGCACAGTGTTGAATGGAGAATCGTCGCGAAGGTTCGTAACCCAGGCTGGCTTCTTCACGTGCTTCAAGGCGTTGAAGTTCTGAGAATCGTCCCTGAACATCTGCGCTGTGGCCTTTGCAGCAACCCTGTCCGCCGAAAGCATGAGCACTGTGCGTTTGGGCCATCCCCGTAGCAGACCAAGATGTCGCTGGTACCGAAGACGATTGAGAACGCACGAATAAACTCCAGCAAGGTTGGCCAAGTCACTCTGCTCCAAAATATCGGTGGCACCAACGTCGGCAGCAGGTCGCCTCACAAACTCTGTCTCGAAGCCGAGGTCGTACAGCAAATGAGCGCCGCCATCAAGTACCCCGAAAGATTTCGCCCTGATGTCAAACATGCCGCCTGAGACAACATCAATATCCCAATCGATCGTTTTCTTGACGCTGCGCAGGGCCACATTCGCCTCGGAGAACCAATCTGCCCATGGACGCTGGATTTCCAATGATACTTTCGCAAGCACCTTGTAAACGTCATTGGAGTAAACCACCGCCGCCAGCTGGGGAACCCCTGTCGTCGCCATCCTGAAACGGTCGATCTCCTTTGCAGTGACCTTCATTGATTGCTTTTCTCCTGCGGCCTCGCCGCGCTTCGGTGCCATGGTCTGGAGCTCCTTCATCCTCTTGGCGAACTGCATGCCCCTGTCTTCTGAGTTCACAATGGTATAGTAAAACCACAACGCCTTTCGCACTGACCAATACTTCTGCTCAGCCCTGGAATGGTAATGGTCGGAAAGCCAGCGCGCTGGCACGTCCTTCGAGCCCGATCCAACCACATACCCATCGTCTGCATCGAATATCTCATCGAACAGCGTCTTCTCGACGCCGTCCTCTGAAGCCCTGTCCTGCTGGTTCAGCTCCCCCAAGATACTCGGCACGCCGTCCAACCAAATCGGGCAAGCGAGCGGGTCGATGTACTTCTTGATCTCCTTGATGATGTCCCCCAGCTGGTGGAAACGTCTCCGCTCGTCCCACGGCCCATGCACTGCGTTCCTTGCAATGCGAAGGAGACGCTTCAGTCCCCCTTGCTTGGTCTCCTTGTCAGCAAGGTCGAAGTCGTTGTCGATCGCGCGGCTGAGGTCGTCGTCGGCGTCCACGTTGCATAGACCAAAGGAAGACCTCAAGAACTGGCGAATCACCATCACGTCAGAGCCTTGGTCGGAGCAAATGTGGTCGGACTTCCACGACATGCAGTGGCTCAGGTTCTCGCAGTCCTCCTTCGAAACCTTCGCGCTCTGCATGCCACCCCCCGTCATCTGCAAGCGCATGTTGTTGTACGCTTTCAATGCACAGTAAGATGTCTGCCTGAACTGCTTTCGCTTCAGCTCTACCACCTCCCGCGCCTCGAGGTCCTCGTTGATGTTCAGGATGGCGAGTGCTGCGCTCCTGTGGCGACGCATGTACGTCTCGCGCTCCTCCGCCGTCGGCGCGCCAGCGACGCTGCTATCCTCGCCGTAGTAATCCTCCATGACCTGTGAAGGGTGAGGTCTATCGGGATCAATCTCACCCCCCCCCGAACCCCTCGACGCCCCCTCACGGCCAGCCCCCCGCCCTCCCCCAGGGGAGGGGGTTGGGGACGGTGGAGAAACCCAAGGAAACCTTCAGTATCCTGAGCTCGAGATCCAGAGCAGATCTGAGATCTAAATTTTAGATCTCAGATCAGATCTGAGATCTAAATCCAGGAATGGCGAATGCATCGAGGATCGCGCAGGGACAGATCCCCGAGATCTAAGCAGATGGATCTCGGAACCACCCGGCCTGAGGAGGGCACCAAGCCGCCGCGTCACTTGAGTCAACCACGACGCCGGACATCATCTTCCTGTGGTCTTGCCTGCTACCGTCCATGATGAAGCTCAAGCGGTCGGCGTCTGCGAAATGCCTCTTGGCAGCTGTCATGTAGCGCATCAGCATGCGTGGAGCGGCCGAGCCATCAGGCGGTTGCAATACGCCCGAGGTCCCGAACATATTCTTTTCGAACGTGAGGTCGGGCGGCATGAACACATCAATGTCCTGCGACAATCTAACCTGCGCGTCAAGAGCCGATCCGATGCCCCACAAGATCTGCTTGACCAGCCAGTCATTCCTCACGGGGTCCGCCGAGGCTGTGAACATCTGACAGATGTCTCTCAAAGTCAGCTCGTCCTTGTGGTCACTCCAAATAGCAGTGTTTTGAAACTCGGCTGGCACTAAAAACGCACGGAAGGACTCAGCCAAGACGGCGTAGAGCTCTAACCTTTTCATCGCGCCGCCCGCAATCGTGATGAACTTCGGGTTCCTGCCGACCGTGTAACGCCCAGCGCGCTGGGCCGCTGGGTCGATGTTCACGTGGACCCTGAACGTCGGCATGGAGGCAACCAACATGTCCAACATCTGGAGGGACATCGTGCAAGCGTCCTCAGTCGAGAAGCCGCAATGCGCCTGATTGCCAGAGCCCCATCCCCAAAGCATGAGCACCAACGCTGTGGAACTGAAGGTCGGAAACTGCAATGGACGATTCGCCGACTCTTGCTTGCTGAGCCCCCTCTCGACGTTCGCGCATGGCGCACTGAGGCGCAAGCGTGGAAACCGAAGAGACATCTTCCGAAGATACCGGCTCCACGCATCCCTCCTGCTCTGAGCCCACTGGGATGGCGTCTTTTTCAACCGAAGACAAAGCAATTCGAAGAACTGAGAAATCCCCCACCAAACATGGCACCCGTCCTGCTCATGACGCCATACTGCGATGCTCAGAACCCTCGGGTTGTCCGCGGGGAACTGCAACGGCACGACGGCACGCCTGTTGTCGCTCCAGAAGTTCTGGATCCACACCTGGGTCGCGCCCCGCGAGTCGACCGCGGAGATGTACTCCGTGCCGTCGGCAGGGTTAACGAACACCACGCTCGTCAAATAATCGGCTGCCTGAAGATATCAGCAGGAACGCTTTATCAAAATGTGAATGGCAAGGGCTCAAGTAAGCAATGCACCTAGGAGCGAACCTCGAATGAATGCCGAAACGAAAAAGCCCAAGACACACGCCAGACCAACAATGATGCAAAACACTAGGGCTGTACATATGGATCAGGGGGCACTGGGCTAGAGAGAGGGGCTTCTGAATGCGAAAGGCACGGTGACATGTCGGAAACCATAATTTTGGAAGTTCTGAAAGTCTACCTAATGAGAACAGCTGGCATTAGAACAAACCATATTTCGCTGTGTTTGTTTCGTCCTCCTCATCCTTCATCCTCATTCTCCTCCCCATGTCAGCTCTCCTCCCTCTCCTCACTCTCTTCCCTCGCCTCTTCATTATCATCATCGGTCCTCCTCCCTCTCCTCCCTCTCGTCCTCCCCGTCCCCCCCGTCGCCGTTCAATCAAGCACCCCCGCCGCTCACTGGCTAAGGCACCTCGCTGCGTCGACATCCTCGGCCCACGACTGCTCGAGATGACGCACCGAGACACTTCAAGGTTTTGCACTCACTTCTTTGAATGAACGAGTGGCTGCGAAAGACTGGGTCGATGCTATATCGACCGAGCGCTGGCGCACCGATTCCCGCCAACTGTCGCGAGCCGCCCTACGTACCTACATGCGAACCGAGAGGCCACGCGCAAGCATACACCTATGCACACTCTCCTCCAAGAAGCGGAAACCACGCGAGGCAACCCACAGCCTCCATCTTCACGCCTCGCGCTGCTCGCAGCGCCGCCGTGCGCTCTGCCTCAATCGGGCCTGCGACATGCCAACTAACAAAAATAACTGTTGCTCTACACTGTGCTGCTGCTGCTGCTCATGATTCCTACCCCTGGCTCATCCATTACCTCGCTCCTCCTCAACATCCCTCCCCCATCAACCTCCAGAAAGGCGAGCGCAGCAGGCTGGCAGCACGCGGCCAGCAGGAGCAAGACACCTAACTACCCACGAAGTCTCGAGACTATCATCCGCTGCTACGGCAGCGGGCTGGCTGCTCCCACTCGCCGCCGTCGGAGCGGGCGCCGTCGCCAGCATCTTCTGACTCGGCGGGCCCTTGACGGCGATCTTGCGGCGCTGGGCACCCTCCGCTGCCGAGGCGACCACCGTGGATATCTTGATATCCGTGGACTTGACCTTATTGCAGTCAGCCTCGAGCTTGGCCTCCTCCTGCGCCGCGATCTCTTTCAGCGTGTCCGCTGGGTCCGACGCGATCTTGTACCAGTCCTGGTCGTGCTGGTCTGCGAAGCGCGTGAAGCAGAGGAAGCCCGATTCGCCATCAGTGAGGCGGGCGTACTTGTCCGACCAGTTCTGCTCGAAGTACCACTCGGCCGTCACCATGTTGCTCCTCGGAACGCTGGCGACCTGGCCACTGATGTGCCTGATGTGCGTGATGACGCCGCGCTCGTTCGGCTCGCACTTCGCGAAGACCCCGTGCTCCTCCCATTTCAAGGCATTGCCATCGAGCATGTCTTTGATGGCACCCCAGCGACTACCCATCAAAGTATAGAGCCTGCTCACGATGCGGCCAGCCAGGCGCTTCTGCTTCATATGATGCAGCACCTTGCACGTCGAGCGAAGCCCTGTCAAGGCCTCGAGGAGCTTTCGAACGAAAGCCCTGTCCTTCTTGTCGTACCTACTGATGAAGCTCTCGACGATGGTGCCGTCGTTCGACATTAGGCGGACTGCCTCCCAGATCCAGTACTTCGGAATCTGCGAATTCTTGTCGATGCCCCAAACTTTGGCGGAGGCGTCGTCGACGGCTTTCACCCCGCGCTTCTTCTTCACGCTCGGGGCTTCGGCAAGAACGGACCGCGATATCAAACTGCAAGCCCCCTGGATCTTCGCTGGATTCACAATCAACTCCCACGCGATCTTCCGAAGGCCATCGGGAAGCTGACTCGTGAGGCTGTCCCTGGCGCAGTCGCGCTCGAACTGCGTTTTGCGCTTCATGATCTCGGGCCAACTAGGGGTGGTGGCGCGAGCCGTGGGAGGGGGCGACGTTGACGGAGTGCGAGCTTTGCCAGAATCTGGCGAGCCCTTCTTGGCCTTCCTAGGGCTGGGGCTCGCGGACGCCAGTCCCATGACTCCGCGACGGGGCCTGGGCCGTCGGATGAGCCGACGCCGCGGGACGAGGAGGTCTCGAGCACCAAAAACGGCTACGGAAAACTGTGGCATCGAGCCGCGAGCTCGCATGCCTACCCGGTGCTATCTTGGCGGATGCAACCCCTGAAGATCCCGAGAGATACCGCCCAAGACGCCTCCAAGAGCACCCCTGAAGACTTCAAGCGATTTCAAGAAGACCCAGATGTTGCCTGACGACCCCAAGAGATGCCCTCGAGACCCCTGAGGGCCCCAAGAGATACCCTCCAAGCCCAATCCAAGAGCACCCTGAGAGACATCCCAAGAACACCTCAAGGGATAAGCTCTAGACCCCTCCAAGAGCGCCCCAATATATACCCTGAACACCCATCCAAGCGCACGGGGTCCGCGGAGTGGCGTAAGCCTTTTGAAAGGATGAAACTGCGCATTGTAACAAGCAAGACCCTCATCCTCTACAACCCTCGCCTGCCTCCATCCTCTACCATCCTCTACCATTCTCTACCATCCTCACCTCCGATCCTCATCATTATCCTCTGCGTCCTACTTCTCCTAGTCCTACTCCGACGTCGCGTTTATAAGGCTCCGCTCCCATATAACTCATTATCTCATCCTCGGCCTCGTTCTTGATGTTCCTCTCCTCCTGTTCCTCCATTCCCCTCCCCCTGATCCTTCGACTCCTCGAAGGTCCCCTAAAGACAAGAAGAAAACGCGGTCCCGCATAGATTCTGCCCCGCTCGCCAGGTAGGCGAGGCTCGGCTGGTCCACCGTAAACTGTAGTTCCCATCGTTCCCCAGATGGCGGAGCCAACGTCCGCACCGACTGGAAGGTGTACGAATGCGCAAGGACGACGGCGCCGTCGCACGGGTCCTGGACGGCCAAAATCACCATTGGTGTCGCGGGCAAGATGACGCCGCCGCCAGCGGCGGCCCCGGGCGGAGGCAGAGGAATGGCCGCCGCTGGCCCAGCCATCTCCGCGGGAGCTCGGCTGGAGGGGCCGAGGCACGCGTGGGGGCGTGCCCAAGCCAAGAGGGGCACCTCGAAGCCCAAAGGCTAATACAGGACTGCGCTGCAGCAGCGAATCACTAATAGCGGGCACTCTTCGACACGCGTGATATTTCGATGGCGAACCCAGCAAGCGCACGGCGCGATGCTATTTCGATTGCGAATCCTCGCCGCCATGCGAAACGATATTTCGATTGCGGATCCAGAAAACACTACCACGCTATTCGACCGAGGTATCAACAGCACGCGAAAGCCTGCCAGCAATTGACCCATAGACATAGAGAGAAGAGGAAGGGGAAGGAGAAGGAGGCGAGAAGGAGAGGAAATTTCAAGGATAAGGATAAGGCTGACAGGAAGGAAGAGGAGACCCAGAAGAGGAAATAAAACGAGAAGGGGAATGAGAAGGAGAGGAGAGGAGGAGTAGAGGCGATTTTGAAAGGAGAAGGAAGATGAAAGGATATTTTGAATGAGTCACAACTTGAGCCACCAGAAGCGTTGTACCTTCTCCTAACACATCCCCAAGGACCTCCCCAGGCTTGTTGGACCCCCCATGGGGGTGGGGGCTTCTATGCTGGGCTTGATTTGATCTCGCCCGCGGAGTGCACCACCAGCTCGTGCGTGATGTCATTCGCAGTCCACACCTTGCACTTCTTGAACGCTCACCAGGATGGTCCCTTTACGCATGCCGAGCAAGTGGAGGTTGGTCAGCATCTCCTCGTGACCGCGGGGCTTGCCATCGAAGGCGTCGTTCGGGTGGTCCAGGATACGGAAGAACCAGATGTCGGGGCGACCCTGCACCGTTGCGCCCCAGACCCAGACCTGGTCTTTTTTGCGGGCGGGCTGCCCTCTGGGGAGCGCCAGGTTTCTTCTTGGCGAGGTGCGCCTCGTCCACCTGCACCACGAGCTTGAATTTGGACGCGTCGGCCTTCTTGGTCAGCGTGATGCCAGCCTTCTTCCTCTGTGCCGCCGCTTTCGCAGCAATATTGCCCTTCTTCTTGGCGAGCGAGATCCTGCCGCGGGCCCTGGCCGCCGCCGCGCCCTTCGGCTTCTTGCTCGTTTTCGGCCAGAACCCAGATTTAGACATGATGCTGCTGAGCGCCTTAGCCACCTTGCCCTGGAAGAGCAACACCCAGCGGTCAAGCGTCTGGTACGTCACGCCCGGCTCTCGCTGAATCAGCTGGCGGGGGTAATCCATGACCCACATGGCCATGGCGTCGAAGAACTGTTCCCACGACGACCCCTGGACGCCCTGCAGAATCGAGCCAGCAGTCATGGACTTCTGGCTCTTCGGCTTGCACGATGAGCATCCAGAATCGTAATCGCAACACCGCCACGCCCATGTGCTCTTGTCCTGGCGGTAAACGGGCTAGTCGTTGTCGCCACCGCACTCGGGGCACTCGTACCACGTTGGCAGGAAGCCTATGACCTGCGCGAAGATGAGGACTCGCAGTGACGAGTTGTTGGCCACGTCGCCCGCATCGTTGATCTTCGCGCACTTGACGTTCCGCAAGTAGTCGTCCCTGCAGTTGAAGCCGAGGTCTTTCAGCGAGGCGCGGTGCTCCTTCAAGTCCTTGTACCCTGCCATTCCGACCACCGCCGCGGTCGCGCCGCTGGGCCACCGGCAGCGGGCGGTCCGCCCCGTGCGCGGAAACGCCCTCGAGCCAGAACAACTGCGGTGCATGTGCGGCGCAGACAGCGGCTGCCCCGCTCGCAACTGCGATGCAAGCGGCGAACGCCAGCGACTGGGCGACGCACGGGAGGGAGGGGGGCGACGACAGCGACGATAACGTTTCCATCAATCGGGCCAAGGTACAGCGGCATGGCGTTCGCATGTGGGTTCGCATTCCCATGCGTTGCCCTATGCCCGCTTCAAAAAAGCAGCCGCGCAACGTGCGCGTGCATCTCAGAGCGCGCGCGCATCAAGAAGAACATTATATTTGAAGGGATACGCAGCGCGCTAGCGGCTCATCTGGGGCACTAGCGGCGCGCGCCCCCTCGGCGGCGCGCGCCCCTCCGGTGCCCAAGCCGAAAGCGGCGGCGCTGCCCGCGCTAGGGTACCCCAATCACACAGCCCCTCAGACGGCGCCCAATTCCGCCTGCTGGCGGGCCTCTTCCGCTCGCTGGCGTTCCTGTTCGTCCTCCATGTCTGGGTGGGCCTCGAGCTCGGCTTCCAAGTCCACGTCGCCGCCCGCCGATGCCCCTGCCTTGATGGGCGATGGCGAGGAGGCGATGTCGATGCTGACGCCGCTGGTCCCAAGGAGGCGCCTGAACTTGCCCTTGGCCTCGGGGGGCTCGATGAGCTCCCTCTTGGCGCTGGCGAGGGGGGGCGCTGGCGCATCTGCGGGGCCGCCTGACGACGCCGCGCCGCTGCCCGCCGATGCGGCGGCGCCCATCAAGTGCGCGCCCCACTCGTCGTAGCCCACCCTTCTCGGCGAAGACGGCTTGGGCTCGGCAGGGAAGATGCCCGCGCCGATGATTGTCGACACGGCCGGCACGTCCTGGCTATGCATGAGATGCTTCAGGTAGTCCATCGACCACTTGATGTCGTCCTCGAAGTAGGCGGGGTACACGGGCCTGCTAGGGTCTTTCTTGTACTTGCCGAACGTTTCCCTGCACTTCTGGTTGAACAGGTCTGGCTTCTTCGGGTTGGCGCAGGTCCACCAGGGCGCGCGGCTCTGCTCGTCGCTCGCACGGGAGAAGCACACCCTCTTGTCCGTGCACAACGCGAAGTGCGCCCGCGAGCCAACGGCCAGCATGTCCTCGTCGTCCTTCACCTGCCGAAATGACGGCCTTATCAGCCGCAGGAAGTCGTCGCTGCTCACATCCTTCGGCTCGCCCTCCTTCCACTTGGAAACGAGCTCGGTCGCGCGCGTTGTTGCAGACCCGGCGGGAAGACCCAGTGTCGAACTCGGAACAGCCCCACCGAGCCCAGATCGCGGCGTCTTCCTCGCTCGGGCTCAGGAAGGCTTTCAGGATGGACGCCGACTGATAATCCAACTCGCCGTCGTCAAAGATGGCGGGCCTGACGCGGGTTTCTGGCTCAGCCTTGAAGAAATCGAAGTGCTTGGCGGTCACGATCGTCGGGGCAAGCCACCCCGCTTCGCCTTCTCCAGACGGCTCCAGCTCTTCGATCTCCACGCGGCTCATCATGAAGGCCAGGGTCTTCGACCCAGCGCTCTTCCCGACGCGAGTCTTGCCTATCCACGCCACACCAAAGGCCCCGAGGGTGAAAACCAGGATGGGCTTGATCACATTGTTGAGGAACCAAGGGTCGAAGTCGAAAATCGTCAGGGCCCAGATCATGAGGCCCTTGGCGTTTGCCCTGCCTTTCGCATCATTGCTGAGGGCCCTCTCGATGCGACTCTCCCCCCAACCAAAGATAGGAGAGTCTGGCCGAGAGCTCTCCCGATCCGCAAACTCCATGAACTGGTTGGCATTGTTGGTGCGCGGCCCCTTCTCGCGCATGAACTTGTACCCTGCCTCCTTGGCCTCCCATTCGGCCGTCTTCCTGGAAGACCCCCTGCCAGCCTTGGGGGCCGCGGTGTGGTAGCGAAGCTGGTGGCCCTTCAGCTTCTTCAGCATGTGCTGCACGGTCAAGCGGCCAACCCTAAACTGGATGCCATAGCGCCATATCAGACCAGTCCCGCGGCACATCTGAAGGCACGGGTCCGTCCTGGTCGGCACCCCCAGGAGGTTCACGCCCTTCAAGATGTCGCGTTTGCCCTCGGGCTTCCTGACGATGAACACCTGCGTAGAGTACTGGCCAGGCGGCTCCTTCTTCAAAGAGAAGGGCTCGGGCATGCCCTCGAAGTCGCACGCCTTTGCGCGCTCGTGCAGAGAGCCCCAAGGAATCTCGCCCTCGTAACCGGCCAGGTAATCAGCGAAATACTGGATCATCTTGCCGCATTCCGTCCCGAACTGCGCGGGTAGATCGGCGATTGTGCACTGCCCTGCCGTCTCCAATCTGTTGGCGTTGATGCACGGGTGATCGTTCGCCTTCATGTTCTCCACGCGCTGCAGGGCTTCGCCGAAAGTGAAGCCTGGGGCGTAAGCGTGGCCAAGGGAGGCCCCAAAACTCTCTGACAGCACCACCGCAGGGTTAAAGACGGGCATATTGCGAAAGCGAGAAACGCGCGGGGACAAGTAAGTCTCTTGGAGCCGAAAAGCTTGAGAGAAATATTACTGCGGCCATGTCAAGTCCTCCTCCTCCACCACCACCACCAGGGGCATCCGTTTTTGTGGATGCCTCTAGAGTAGCAGTGCTTTAGCCGTGACGCTGCTCTGCGGTGCGGCAGCGTTTTCGGGCGCGGGGGTGGGAACACATTTTTTGGGTTCCCCCGTTTTCGTATGTTCGGAACCTGTCCTGGGTACCCCTCCACGCGCGCCGGCGTGCAAGACTGCTGGGCTGGGCTGGGCTGAACTGTTCCACGTATGGCCGAAGGGGCATCGAATTTCTGGATGCCCCCAGTCAAGGCATGGGGGAATCAAAGAGCAGGAGCCACACATAAAACACATGCACAGCTTCCTGCTTATTAACACCGCAAGTGTCGGAAGTCGTCCGTGCGGAAACGAAAGGAGGAAGTGAGTAAGGGAAGGACGGGGTCGATGGCCGAGGGGGCATCCATTTGTGGATGCCCCTTTTCTGCCGCATACAGGCACGGGGTGGGAATACAAGAGCAAACACCAAACATAGCATAGCTTCCTGCTTACAGCCTCGACACATGTTGGAAGTCTTCCGCGCGGAAGAAAAACGAAAGGGGGAAGGGAGGATGTAGTCTGCAAAAACAAACCAGAAACACGGTCGAAGTGCAGCGTGCCTGTTCGAGCGTGTTGTGACGTCGTCGTCGTCGCCGCCGCCGCCGTCGCCGCCGCCGCTGCCGTCGTCGTCGTCGTCGTGGTCGTCGCCGCCGACGCCGTCGTCGTCGTCGTCCTCCTCCTCCTCCTCCCCCTCTTCCCCCTCCTCCTCCTCCTCCTCCTCCTCCTCCTCCTCTTCCTCCTCCTCCTCCTCATCCTCCTCATCCTGTCAACCAGATTCCCCCATCGGGGGGGGGAAGCATGCAAAACCCTTGGGGGGGGGAAAAAAAAACAAAAAAACAAACAAACAAACAAAAAACAAACAATCCTCGGGGACTCCTCCCCCGCCCCCCCTCTCCTCCTCCTCCCCCCCCAGCAAGTTCAACTAAATGTTTTTTTTTATTGTTGTTTGTGTTGTTTTTGTTTTTTTTGTTCCTGAAGGTTTCGCTTGTTTCTGCTCCGTAAGAGGATTCTGATGAGGATGAAAGGAGCCTCCCCCCCAGCAAGTTCTTCAGGATTGCTTTTATTGTTTGTTTTGTTTGTTGTTTCTTCTTTCCGATTGTTTAGCTTGATTATGTTCCATAAGAGTATTCTGATTGGGATGAAAGGAGGAGGAGGAGGAGGAGGAGGAGGAGGAGGAGGAGGAGCAATGCGAAGAGGAGGAGGAGGAGGAGGAGGAAGAGGGAGGAGGAGGAGGAAGAGGAGGAGGAGGAGGAGGAGGAGGATGGAAGAGGTTTGAATGGTTTACGCCCGCTGTCATTTTGCAGGGGGGGCCCTTTCACCCCGAAGCCTCCACACCATATATCGAAATATGGGGTCTGCAATGATAGCGTACGGTAGCCCATTTAGCGGACACTGTTGTTTCAGCCCCCTCTCAAGTAGGTAATTAAGACATGTCCTCACTCCCTTGAAAGTTGACGATAACCTGGGCATCATAATATAATGCTCGTACACACTTGAGAATGGGCTCGACTATGTCCATCTCATCTATGACCTAGTACATATTCTCATACGAGACCGACGGCAACGCAGCCTTGATGTCGAAGAGTACCCCATCCAGTGGAGGCGCGCCAGGGGACTGCGTTCCGCAAACGCAGGTCACAGTCCAAGGACACGATGTGGTCCAGGATCTGCCTTCCAAGGATGAAACTGGCCTGCATCCGATGTAGAAGGAGCGCCGCAGCCGACCGAAGGGGCCAGGAAATTGCACTAGCCACCGAATTGTTATCCGCGTTCGGAAGGGCGAGAGGGCGAGCGCAGGCAGCAGGCCGAACCTGCCCGCATTCACCACATGTGGCTTCCCCCTTCGGCAGGAACGCGGCCGGAGCACGGTTGAAACCAAAGCCAAAGAGGCGGCCCGCCATGCCGCGCCGGCATTGTCGGCATAGCGATTCCAGCGCCAGACGCCCGCAAGCCTTCCATGCAGAATGCGGGATCCCATCAAGTGCAGGACTACTGTCATGCTGGGCTCGGATGAGCTCCAGAAGCTGCCCCCCCCCAGGACCCACTGGGCCTCCCCCCCAGGGAACAGTTTCAATGGACGGGACCAGGTGCCGAAACTCAGACACCAACACAAACATCAACCTCGAGATCTTCCCCCAGCACTCTGCAAGTTCACGGGCGCCGGCGCTCGCATCAGCGAGCTGCTGCCACTCGCTGGCAACGATCAACGTCGAATACATGCGCCGGTGAAAAGGGGCCATGGCCATAGCTCATTCGCGGGCACGGTGCACTGCGGAAGCTTTCCGCCCTGTTGACAACGTCATTGCCCCCCGATCTCCGCCTCCCCCTCCTTATAGATGGCCCTCATCATCTCTCCCAACTTGCGGTTGAATCTCTCGAAGTCCCGCTAGACGGCGGCCATCGGGTCATAGAGCTCGAGAAGAGCAGGCCTGGCTCGGCACGCGCGCGCGGCAGCCTTCCCCCCCCGACCCCTGCGCGCACGACGCGGCGCAATCATCCAGGGAGCTTTCTGTTCGGGATCTTCGGGGCCCCGGGCTTCCAACGTCAGTTTCGCCCTCCTCGCAGCTTCATGCATGATCCCCTTGATCTCCCACGCCCCGGAAACCGCCTCCTCGGACAAACCTCCCCCAGGTGCCCCTCGGCAACCTCCTTAAACTTCTCGCGGCGCGCGAGCCACCTCGGAATGGAACTGCGCCCTCCGCGCCAACCAAATCAACGCTGCAGCGCGGTCGCTCGGACCGGGCACCAGCGAGCGGGTCCGAGTCGAGGAGGGCGGGGGCAGCGCTCGAGAGGTAGGTAGATTCTGCCGAGCCTGCCAACAGACTTGATCACATCGTCATGAACGGCTGCGCGCGTGCACGGCGGTTGATGCATCTCGATCATACGGGGGAAAAGCGAATCAAAGAGTCGAGCAAGAAATTGAGGGCCCACTTCCTGCAGCCTGTCATTAAGTTGCAAACGCCCTTCGCCAGCAGCGCAGAAGTTTAAATCGCGCCGCGTCCCGCGGCTAAATTCGATCTGCCAGTCTCCCCAGCCTGTCCTGGAAATGTGAGCGGGGAAGCCCAGGACTCAGATGGAAGTTCGCGATGTCAAGATTCCCAGCGCCAGACATCCGGAGAATGGCGATCCGCCCCAAGGGAATCGGCGCAATCCTGAGACTGGAGAATCGCATGGAAGTCCGATCGTTCCCCATGAAGACCATGCTCGCAGCGGCCACGTTTCCCGCGAAAGACACAACCACCTTCCAGCCAGGGACGCTCTTCCGCAGTTCCAAGAAATCAGCTCGTTCGCCATGCGACTCCTGCAGCAAGCAAGACAACAATGTCACGCAGCCGCGCCTGTCGACGGAGCTCTCTCCGCGTCGCTAGCTGCAATCGGTTGTCGGACCAAACGCTGCCAAACAACGCGTGAACGCTTCTGCTATCGACCTTCAGCGTGGAGGAGAGGGGAGGAGAGGGGGAGAGCAGGGAAAAGGCCGGGCGCGGGCCCCTGGGACTCATGCAGTACATTGGATGACTTAAGCCCTGACTTACATTCAGTATCCACGCGTCTAGAAGCGCGCGTCTAAGAGTCGGAAGAACAAGACGAGGAAGACGAAGGGGAGGAAGACGACGAGGAAGAGAGAGAGAGAGAGAGAGAGAGAGAGAGAGAGAGAGAGAGAAAGAAAGAGACTCGCAGCACAGATCCCAATTGGCATCGGGAGGCAAAACTGGACCACTACTGCCAGTCCGCGCGGCCGAGCTGGCACCTCGAGAAGGTGGGCACCCCCGACGCCGCGCGCCCGCGACTTCGGGCGTGGTCCGCGTTCCCCCCGCCGATCGACGCTCGGCCGCCGTCGATGGCCACTGGAACGTGCCGAGCCGCCCCAGCATGTCCCCGACATCTCTGTTCGGAATCTGCCACCAGCTGAACGACTCATGCACAGGCTCGAAACTGAACCCCGCCTGCTCAATCCCCTTGATCCAGAAGAGCTCAAAAGCGCCCGTAGCCGATGCGAGGTGGATCAGCCCCTGGAAGCCGCTCGCCCACAGGCGGTGCCCCTCGATCTTGCTGGCCGCCCGCTGCTTCGCGCGAGCGCCCATGGGGAGACCCTGCCGAACCCTGGGCATCGGCGCGGCTGGTGCGCGCGAGCCCCCCCGCGCGATGGCCTTGCCCCCCAAGAACTCAGAGAAAGCCCTGGCCTCCGCGACATTCTTGACGTGCACTCCGTAGCTCTTCGAGGCGCCCTTCAGCTGCGGCTTTTCGGGAGTAACGGAACAACGACACCCCGCCAATGAGCTGGCTTCTTTCTGCGCGCCCGCGATTGCCCTAGGGAAGTTGCCGGCCCACCTCTTGCAATCATTCGTGGGGGCCGAGCGATGAAAGGAACTGCTCGACCCTGAGTTCCCTCCACCACCACTGGCCCCTGCAGCCTTTTCCCTCAGTTCGTTCAGGTCCTTCGCGAGGTCGATGACCGTGGCCTCCAACTTCGTCGCGTTGCAAAACGCGCCCCGCGTTGCCCATGGATCCGACCCTGTGGAGCCTCCGCTGCGCATGTTCACGTCCTCCGCGCCGTGCATCACCTCCAACTTGGCCTGGGCGGCCGCGATCCTCGCGCCCCCCCCCCCCCCCATCCGTCTTGCACCGGCGGAACTCCGTCATGGTGGCCGTGCGCGGCGTGCCCAGCAGCCCCGTGGCCTGCGACTGGAGGGAAGAGGTGAGCTCTCTCAGTGGCTCTGCCAGCGCCGACTGGATGCACGGCGAAACCCCAACCGCAAACTTGCCATAGTCGAGCTCGTAGTAGTTGATCGCTGCACTGCGCCCGCTTGATCCTGCGCCCGAAAGGCTCCTGGAAGAGCTGGCACCGCGTTCCACGC